TCAGGTACATAAAGGCATAATAACATCCATAGGTTTATTTCAAAGATGCAGAAAATATTATTTTTGCTTGATTGACCCATGTGCAACTGCTGATACGCATAGGACTTTTGAATATGTACACCATCATAACTCCGAAAATAAAGTTGTTGGGGAATCCTTTATTCTTCAGGCATACACAATTTTAAAGAGGCATAGTGTTGAGTGAAGCTAAAAGAGACAGCTCATACAAGATTTTCTTGATAATACTAAGTCAGAAAAAGGAACCATGAATTTTGCCTAGCAGAAACACACTTTATTGATGAATTTTCTTTGCCTCATTGTGAGCATTACACTATCTTTTACTGTCTTCTGCTCTGGTATCAGAATCATGCACACAGTTCTGTTGTTAATATTATAGAGGTGGCATATGTTTGTGGATAAGTAATCTGCCTGTTTACAGTGCCATTAGGAAACCGCTGACTCCACTAGTTCAGAGTCTCGTCTAAACCTTTCTCTGCTTCTGACCTGCTGAGTATTTGGTATTCAACACCATATGAGTGATTTCCTGCAGCCTCCATCACACAGGTTGTTGGGTTACTAAGGAATAACTCTTAAGAGGTAAAGAGCCCCGCAGTCACCTTGATCTCAGTGCCAGTGATCATCTAATTCTCTGCTTCATGCTATACCACAGCACTGACCAAATCTTACAGGCATCTCTTGGCATGCGGAAGTAGGAACAATTATGGCTGTAGATGGAGAGATGTACTACTTTCACACTATAATCTCTTCAACATATTATTACACATGAAACATCGTCGTTCAACTTCAAAAAAAAAAAAAAAAGAAAAAAAAGGAGTGACAAAGAGAAAAACCAACCAAGAGATCGGTTGGAAAAGCAGATTTTTTTCTGTCCTATATCAGAAAAATTGTTTCTGTTCTGTGTTGTTTTCATTGTCATTGGTTCATAGCCTTTTCAGTACACATGCAGGACAACTGCTTCACAGTCAGGAGGACTAGGAACTGCCTTTATGAAACCTAGACCTTATCCTGGAAATGGTCAAGATCAGATTGGACAGGACTCTGAGAAATCTGATCTAGTTGAAGATTTCCCAGCTCATTGCACAGGGGTTGGATTAGATGATCTTTAAAGGTCCCTTCCAATCTAAACTATTCTATGTGTCTTACATGGTGTCTTGTGTCTGTGGGCTGTTACTGGGAACTCAGCAGTACCAGTGAAGGACACTTAGCCCCAGGAGCTAAGTTGCCTCTGTGTTGCATGTAATTACAGGTAGAATTTCAGAGAGGGAAAAAGAGACCCAGGTCATGGATATAAAGAAGGGTCCACATCAAAATTTCCAAAGCTTTAAAGCCACCCACTTTCACCATTCTTATTCTGTAAGATTCAACATATTTTTCATCCATGATCAACACTTGAATTCCGTCTGCTTTCTTCAAGGTGACTAAGTAATTGGAAAGAAAAATGGAATTGAGCCCCTTGCTCTTTTGAGAGCTCATAGCAGCCCATCCACCTTTAGTACTGCTGGGTGCAATTCCTACCTTGGGGGTCAAGTAGCTGTTGCAACATCTTTGCCAGTGGACCCAGGTAAGGAGTCCCTGTGCAGGCCTGGCTCTTTCTCACTCCCCATGAATGGCACTTCCACACAGAAATGCCTTTTGCCAGTGCAGAGAGATCCCGAATGGTCTGTGGGAAAGGCAGAGATTCCCTCCTCAAATCCTGCCGGCGTGCCCTGTTCCCATAACCTGGTAAATGGGACTTAATTAACAGGAATTCCCTTTAATTGTGACTATTTTGTTTACAATAAACTCAGACTAGCAATATAAGAAAATCAACAGCTTTTAGCTTGTTAATTGTGCTAGTAGGTTGCACTGTTAGAAGCCACAAACATTTGCATCTCGCATCCAGTCATGTGCTCAGTAACCTTTTGGCATGGATAAGAAGGACAAATTGGATAATGTTTACTGCATCTAAAGCCAGGTATATGCTCATTTCAGAGACTGACTGACATGCAACATACAGAATACCTGCAGTTGCCTCTTATCTGGGTAGCTATGGATGCTACTGAATTAAACCATGCAAAAACACAAAGCGCCTAAACTAAGGTTAGAGGTATCATCTATAGCAGAGCTGTTTATATAGCTTCAGCTGTACAACACTTCAGGTGAAATTCAAAGACACAATAAAAGTATCAGATGTTTCTGAAGCAATTAAATATTTTAAAAGGTAATATAAGCAATCCATAAAAATTTTCAGCAATTCGGAGGCTACACTGCCACATGATAGCCACACTACAGAACGTCCTTCTTATTCCTGCTCTGGTTCCACAGATAAGCATTAGATGATGCGTGTTGAAGCTGTCATTTGCAAAGCTGGAGATACATAAAGGACTGAGTTCAGTTTTAAGACAGAAGTTACCTGAACAGGGAACAGAGCAAAAGAATGAAGCTTTTAGGAGCTGACTGATGTGAAAAATTTCTTCTCTCAAAGGACAACTATTATCCAAGAAGTTGGGCTAAATTTAAAAAATAATAATAAAAAAAGAAAAATACAAGCCACATTTTTCAACAATATAAAAGTATTCTGCATGAAGAATGCTGTGTCACAGGAATTCCTCGGTGGTAAAGTGGCAGAGTGAGAGCAGAAGTAGGGAAGGAGAGGAACAATTGGTTGCCACAAAAGAGACCATTTCCTGCGTTTTCCCTTCCCAAAACCTTCTCTGTTTGCAGTGACCCTCATCTGAGGAACCCGTGAGCCTTTCCCAACCTCTCAATCCTACTGACTTTTTAAAAAAGGACATTGAGATCTCTGCTTGAGACCTCTCTCTTTCCCTTGACTTATCAGTGCTAACGTTCCTGGGGATAGATTTAAGCCATTTCTGTAATGGCATTTGTACATGAAAAGTAAGTTTCACACTCTGAAAGCCCAGTGAAAGGCCAGTAGTCCTTATTGTGTCCTGTGGGCCAGAGCTGAGTTACTACAAAAAATATAGTCATCCTCCAGTCCATCTGGTGGAAAGTGAATTATTCTTCATCAGCTTCATGGTCTTCAACCTTGAAAAAGTGAATTTGTCTGATCTTTATGCAAATTAAATTAATGTCACCCCCAGGTGAAAGGTTTCATGTGACAGGGCTTTTAAATTTAATCTTTTTTCTTCAAACTGTCTGTTATCTTCTACTTAAAAACACACACTGAATATTAAGTATGGGCTTACTGCAGCTATTAATCATTCAGTTAAATAAAACCACTAGGAAGCTCTGAATAGCTGTAAATAAAATAATAGCTTTGCTACCTGCTACTTCTTTGTTCCATGCAGACCGGATATAGAGTGAAAGACAAAATAAAAGCTGTCACATAGTTTAGGAAAATTGTTGCATTAAGCTACAGAAACACGATCCCTATACATGATCTATTATTACTTAATGATATTTTGCATCCTCTCCCAGACATAGCTTGCCTGCTGCTGTGTTCTAGTCTCTCAGGGTTGCTTTACTTAGTAAGTGTGTCACATAAAATGCATATAGGGCATTCTTTTCTCAAATAAATTACCAAAAGGACCACAGTCTGCTTTCTCACTTGGTGAGTCTCATGATCTTCAACTACAGTATTACACAAGCGATCAACACAATTAACCTATCATTTGCAATTGGGCACTTGCATCTGAAGCAGATGTGGTAGGGGTGGAAGCTGTACCCTGACCTACTTTGATAGAATTCTTGACCCATTCTTCAAATTAGGTACTAAAATAACCCTGAAGACATTTTGCTCAATGTTCAAGAGCAGAAATTATCCATGAGTTCATTCCCTGTGAAAGCAAACTTCTTTAATACACAGCTACTATCATTCAGGTGTCCCTGTCTATGTCAAGGGGGCTGGAACTAGATGATCTTTAAGGTCCTTCCCGAGCTAAACCACTATCATTCTATTATCTCCCTTTATTTTTGGGGAATATTTTCTTCTGTGCTTTGTTCTTTCTAACTCTCTCCTTTCTACCATTTTCGTTTCTCACTTAAAGCTTATCATTTCCTATGATGCTTTCTTCATTCTTCTTACCTCTACTATTCATAATTATCTTTCTCAGGCCAGTGAAAAACTTAGGGTTTGTGTTACTAGGCAGAGTAATAAACCCTTGTGACTTTTCCATGCAGAGCATTTGTTAGCTTATTGGTTTGTTGGTTTGCTGGTTTTTTTTTTTCAGATGTGTGAGATAGATGAGATTTCATTGCTGTTTCACCATAAAGGTAGAAAGTTGCTAATGGAATGCAAAACCAGGAAGATCAATCTAAGATTGACTTTGCAATTGACAGCTCAAAAATAGTTTTCCTGGACCTTTGCACTTTCATACCCGTTTGTTTCCCTTGATGGTGCCTGTCTTTTCCCAGACTGGTATGTATATTCCTTCCTGAACCTGAGAGGAAATGCATTTCTGTAGCACTGTTGATTGCAGTATTCATTTTCCTAACTTTTTGCTTTTTCTCTTTATCATGAAAATAAATTGGTGAACTCAAGGACCAGCAAGCAGCCCAACCATTTTCATGTTTCTCCTAAATCAAAGTCATTGTCTTATCTCAGCTCATCTACTCACTCATTTACCAATCTTTCATGTATTTAACTGTCTTTCTAGTCCACTGATTATGTTATGTTAGCCCAGAAAAGAAGAGGGTGTCAGTATTGGAATGCTAACTTCTTCTGATCACTCAGAGAATTGCACTGTAATGATCCTCTAATTACAGAGCTATCACGCTGTATTAAATCCTTTCTGTATGTGCTGTCAACTGTTTACATTGTTCTGCATGCCCCAGACTTCACATTTCCAAATATACTACAGTGATAGCTGACAACAGCATTGACAGATGTAATGAACAGTGTATGGTTGTGCAAAAGAAGTGGAAGGACTTTGAACATATTGAAATTTGAGAGCAAGCCAATATTATCACAGAAGTTTTGATCAATGTGTATTTCTTTATAAATCAGTTCATTTTTGTTTTTCTGCTTTTTTCCACAGTGGTTATGTCTTTGATTATGATTACTACAGAGATGATTTCTACAATCGGTATGTGTGGCTATATTTTTGTACATTCTACACGATTGCTACTGTTTGTTTATAATGTAATCCCATCATTTGGTCAAACAGGTCAGTTCTGATTTTACATATTATTCATTTCATTATTTCTATTGTGTATCAGAAGACTATTTGAATATATCAAAGCCAGAGAAGATTACCACCACCAAATGTATGCTTATTAAACAGCTCTTTTAATTTTATTGTTCTCTAAGAGCTTTTGGAGCACATTTCAGTGTGCTGAATAGTTTAATGATGGTTTAACTGCTCACTGTTTCTTCCTACAGAGTTCTTCCAGGTCTACTTTCACTACAACATATAGCACCTGTAAAATTCTTCAGTATGACATTCATGTCTTTGTCTTTTCATCCATACATATGAAAAGATATAGAATGTCTCCTGAAGAATGTTCTGAGAACATTTAAAAATCTAGAAGAACCTTGAGGGAAGCAAAAGTACAAGGTGAACAGCAGGTGTGTTTCTATAGGAGGAAAAGAATTTGGATACCTGAGCAACTGGAGATTCTGCCTTGAGTACATGCACGCAGCCTAGCTCAGCACTGTGGAAATTTATTTATTCAGATATTATAGAATCTCCACAACACAGGGATAGCATGGATGATCATAAATAATCAACTCATCATCCAGCAGTGCTGTGTCTCTGCATTACAGCAGCTTGGTTTAGCACAGGCCAAGTGAGTCAGAGAGGAACAAAACGTTGCTTCACCAATGTCTTTTAATCTGAGAATTCTTTTATATAAAGCAATGGACAGTAGCAGGGGAACAGTTCACACCCGGAACTTAAGTTAGCATGTGCTGTATACCTTTCAGCTTAGGAACATGGTGAGAAAAATGTAAAAAATATTTTTCAGGTTTGTTTTTTCCTGGGGTTGATTCAATTTGAGCCACTACTTTTGGTTTTGCATGTAAATCACCATGATCCCTTTGTACAAAGCTAAAATTAATGAGATAGAAACTGATGAAGTGAAAGCCATCAATGCAGTTTAGTTCCAGTCAGTCCGTTCTTTACAGTAGGAGCAGCTCATGTCCTGTAAAAAGTTACCTTCCCAAGGTTATTACGCTGAACTTCATTGGTGGAATTGTATGTTTTTAAATAGAGTAGTGTTTCATATCTATGACACATGAATATTAAAGTTATATGTGTTTAGTTTTTTCCCTTATTCTGTATGTTATGGGTAGAACAAATGACCAACTATAATGGTTACACTTTCCCAATGAAAGAAATACTTATGGTAGATTAAAAGTTGTTTCTGTGGAGCCTGGTGTCTGTCTTGGTGATTGTGTTGTTATGGAAAACCACTGAGAGTGAAATGTATCCATAAATCTATTTAATAGTATGATTTTCTCATTTAGAAATCTTTCAGGATTAAGACAGCAGAACATTTATGATAAAAAACCTAAATATGAGGTTGGCCTCACAAGGCTGGACATACTGATCTTCTGACAATAAAAACTGTAGGACCTTAACAGTCTCTGTTAAATACAAGTTAATGGAAGGGAAAGATGAAAAGCTCTATATAGCAGTCATGGAAAAGAAAATCCCATGGAGAATACAACGTAACAACTATCAACATGCCTATAGGAATATAATTTAAGATTTATAGTCATGATTCTTTGAATTTTTGAACTTTTGAACTTCTGAACTTCCTGAATTTTTGTGTTTTACTCCAAACCATAGATCTTGTTTTCTAATATCTATTAATTTTCCAACTTCCCTGAAGGTACAATACTTCTATCTTACCTTGACTAAAGCAGTGGTGGGGTCAGAAAAGGGTGACAAGAATGGTTAGTGCTCTAAAATAAAATCTATATGAAGACAGATTGGGTGGCTGAAACAAAAGGCACAATTATGTGCATATTAGTGATTATTGGGGCAAATAATTCCTTTAGAACTGAGCATTTCTGTTTATCAGTCCTCCTATTACAAGCACAAGGAAAACAGGCAAAGTACTTCAAAACTGATAAATGGAAACATTCTTTTTCTAAAAAAAAAGCATATTATTGAAATATATAGAACTTGGTAAAACAAAACACCAAAGCCAAAATCTGCGTAAGTTCAGAAATAAATGTAGGAATAGATGAATAACAGTTCTTCTATATATATTGAAGAAAAGGAAACATAGTGTCACATTTCGCTATATTATCTAAACATGAAACATTGGAAGCCAAAAAAAATCACCTTTGGAGAAATAATCACATGATGACCATTTGCATGATAGTTTAAAGTTCTTCTGAACCTTTTTTCAGTAATGTCACCAACCTGCAGATCATCCAATATGATAAGTGGTGAGTGACAATGAGCGCTATTATTTACATCAAAAGTAAAAAAAAAGTTTCCATGTTCATCTTCATACACAGTTATTTAATTATGCTCACAGTGGCTAGAAACTGCTTATTTGTGAGAATATTTGAGGCCATGGAGTTCACATTCAGTGGGGGTGACAGGACCTCTGTGACACATTTTGTGGACAGCTATGGAAAAAGAGAAAGATGGTTACATTTTCTGTAGGATTACAGTATAGACAGAAGTAAGGAACCTAGGATTTAAACACTAGGTGTTTACTTGACAGAAAATGAATTAGAAGATTTAAGTTTGATTCTGCTTCCTGTTCAGCACCCTGTTAGATGCTGTGGTGAGTGAATTACTGTTTCTTGTGTGCCTGTTTTCAAGTGTGTATCTATCTGCCCAGGTGGGTGACAGTAGTCAGAACAGTGAAAATTAAATATGTAGTTATAAATTTCCATAATTACTAGTTACAAGAAAAATTGGGAATATTTTGTGCGAATGTTGTTTATCCTTCTGCTTCAGACTCTGAACTGAAAATCCTCATTTTCTGAACTTTCTTCTCCTGACATTTCATATTCAGAACTTATAGCTTTTATGTTCTACATGTATCTGTAGTTTTTATTACTTTTTCTACTGCCTTTATTTTCTTCTACACAGGCTGGTTATCTGCTATTGATAACTGTATTTTTAGGACTGGGCTATTCTGTTTGGGAATAATAGCTCATTTTTGAGCGTCTTTCATTGACTGTAGTGGTAAATCTCTGAATATCTACCTGCTAGTGGTTTTGATTTGAACAACATTTTTTTTTCTAATTAAGGATGCTTGGGTATTTTATTGTTTCTGCACTAATTCATTCTTCAATAATGAGAACATATGCAAAGACTCTTGATATTTTACGAACTGCAGGATTTATTTTTATAGAGATGGTTGTCTTCGGAAAAGTTCTTTTTTATTTTTTACATCTTTAAAGATAGCAGATAGAAAACTGGAATTTAAGTCATGCATGTAATAAAGAACCTGCAATGTCACAACAAAATGTACTACTGTTGGTTGTGTGCAATGAAACGATGTGGACCTGTGGAAAGCAGGTTATGGATTTTCCATACTGCAAATAACAGCATCCAATAATGCATCCTTTATTTAAATCATGCAACAAAATATGACCAGAGCTATGCACTGGTCTGTGACTGAAATCTGAATAAGGCACTTAATGTGCATAGACCCTTGAAATGTAATTTGACTGTGATATAAAGTGATTAAGGTTTCAAAGGCTAATTTTCTCAAAGATAACATGAAAATTTAGTTGACAGGGCTTCCATGACATGAAATCACAGAAGGTTTTATGGAGTTCGGCTGACTTAATCTTTTCCAGGTTGTTTGATTACCATGGCCGTGTCCCTCCACCACCCCGTGCAGTGATTCCACTGAAACGTCCTCGTGTGGCTGTGACAACAACTCGTAGAGGCAAAGGGGTTTTCTCCATGAAAGGAGCATCACGATCTGCCTCAAGTGGGGCTTCTTCCTCAGGATCAAAATGTGAGTTGCTCATATCAGTTGAATATTATTGAAACAATGATCCTAGCAATTTCTGCAAGCAGACAGCTTCCACTGTATAGCTCTGTTGCAGTCATTTTCTACCCTCAGTGTCTAGCTTGAAAAACTGGCTATTTTACCAAAGCTTCCAGGCCTTTCCTGCAAGTCAAGGAGCACACTGATGACACTTTAGAAGAAAATTCTTTCAACAACATTTCAGCTGCTTCCTTGGCCTCAGAAGAAGCCTGTTTAAAATCTTCTATCACCCCGACTACTCATCCACCATGAGGTCTTGTGTACAGCTGGTAATACAGCAAAGATAATAATCTTGTTATAGACAGAGGCACAATGACTTACGTGGAGACAAGGGTTGTATGTAAGATGATGGGATGGGGTGGGAGGGGCACAGGAGGTTGGGTTATGTGTTCTTTTTTTACCAGATTCCTTTGAGGATAGAAAGAGGCAAAGTGTCTTTGCCCAGTTTAAAGGAAGTTCAAAACAGGATTGGCAACTTGGGGTTATTTAACCCTTCTTTAGTGAGTTGGCCTTAGAAGAGCTGATGAACAATAGGCATTCCCTTCTCCAAGTTCATCAAGCTCCCCACTGCATAGTATGTCCTGGGAACTTCATCTTCCTCTTCGTGCATCTTTCAGCACCCACCCGTCTTCCCCTGCCCCTTATGTGGAGTGATACTGTCCTTGGAAGCGTCACTGGAAGAGGAAGAGAAAGATCAGGTAGGGATCAGATATTAGAAAGAATGGAGAGACTTCAATAAGACTTTTGTAGTACCAGAGTGGTCAACAAAACATCATACTGTCTTACATGTGAATCCATCAACAGTACATCTTACTGCCAGAGGAGTTAATTATAGCATCAACAGTACCCAGATATATATTGCGCTTGAATAACATATCCAAATCTCACACACTAGTATCTAACAAAGAAGTTGGATCTCTAGGGAGCCCATCAGGATCCATTCTTAATCCTACTGTATGACTAGATGATATCAGAGACCTTGAAGGAAAACATGTAATAAACATGCGTGTGACTGAAAGAAAGGACATGTGGTAAACAGATAATATTGTACGCTCAGGAGCAAGGATCTCAAGCCATCCTTGGAAAGGATAACATTCTGAAAAAGAGATACTCTCTTGCCTGTACAGTTAAATCACTCACAAGTCTTCAGTGAATGAATGGCTACATGTCCATTACCAATAAGGAGAGTTTTCACACTTAGCAAACAGGAAGATATCTAAATTTAGATGTCATGTTATGAAGCTCACTCAGACCCTAAGAGGATTACTGGGAGTAATCTTTGTTCTCTGGAAGATGAGCATGAGTCTAGATATTTTCATACACATCTTGAAGTAATCCACTCGTCCATAAATGCTTTTTGCCTTCCCTCAGTACTTTAAGTGATGAATTATGTTTTCTTCTATGAATTTAAAAGAAAGCATGCAGCTCAAGATCTTCAATTTAGAAAACTTAGAATTTAAATTATTTTGTTAGTCCTTTTCAGCCCTTGAGTCTCTGGATTTTCATACAGTGAATCAAAGCTTTAGTAAGTATATACGCTTACAAATTCATTCATTATATCTCATTTGTTCATCCTTTACTGTTGTCTTATTCATATGAATTGTTAGTCATATCAGTACATTCAATTTGCTAGTTATCCTAAAGCATGATCTAATAGGAATGGGCTTTTTGGACTCACTTTGCCTTGAAAAGATGAATTATTTTCAGATAAGTATTTGACTTTTTTTCTCATTGTCCAGAACTAGAAAAACTCTAAAATTCTAAAGAGCTGAGGATCTTAGTGTATTGCAACAGACATCAAGAAGAACTCTTGCCCAGAAATCTGGATTTTCATTGTTGTGAATGAGACAGAAAATATTAGATTAACGTATAGATATTTCTTTCTCAGAATTACCACCAAATTGGCTTTACTATTTCTTCTGCATTTCAAAAAATGTTTTGTAGTACCACGTCAGGACTTAAGTAATGCATATTATAGGATTTAACTCTGATCCAAGTACCCACAGTCACTTGCTATAAGACTTCGAAAATACTGTCTGTGTAACATGGCAAGTGTTGCAGAACCTATAAATTATTCAATGGAACCGCAATCAGGAGTGTTCAGGTCCAAGCAGTCAGTGTTATGCTCCAGTGAAAGTATTCTTCAATGTACTCAGGTGTGATCTGAATTCCAAAAATGTCAGTCATAGAGCTCCAGGTGACAAGATCATCCTTGGATCCAGCTCTTTAACACTTAAGGAAGAGCTGCAAAGATACATCACTAAAAATATGGTTTGACATTTTCACCTTTGTTGTGTTTCTATCCTTAGTTCTTTACAATGGCAATTGGAACAAAACTGCAGAGACTATTTATTGTGATGGAATAAATTGCACAAAAAATTCTTTCTGCATGCAGCACATCTTTAAAAGGAGTCAGATACACAGTATACAGATTTTCATACTTAATTTCCCCAAAGAATTACTTCCCTTTTTGTCAAGTCCAGCCAACCCATCATAAAGGTAGAAATATGATTTTATTTACTTCAACAAGAATGTAATCAGCTTATTGTAAGACCTTTGTCAGAGAAACAATGGAACCATTCACTTAGGGGCTTCAGTTTGGAAAGTGGAGAATGTGTATTTTGTGGCTTCCTTTGCCGTTTTCTCAGAGAAGTTGGTTGTATTGAATTGTGGGATGAAGCAATTTAATATTTTCTTGCCCCTCACTCTATGCTGCTAATATGGACCACCTGAACTAAGGCACTGTTGATTCTATTCATAGTTTATTGCTAGTTAAATAAAGGATTTCTTCAAGAAAGAGAAACATAGTTTGTGGGAACGAGGCTATTTTGAGTTTTAAATCAAATGTAAGACCATAAAACAGCTTAATTGCAAGTTCAGAATTAACAATGTCAAAATGGTACTGCCTATGCTTGAAAGATTTCACCCCCAAATAGCAAAACCCTCATGAGATCACATCCTCTAACATACTTTTCAGATGTAAGTAGAAATCTCATAGACATAAGTCTTCTCCTCGGTTTTCTCCACACAGACTGAATCCAGAAATTTAATACATACATATCATATTAAAGGTTAGAACACAAGAGAGCCCTCAGTCAAATCACCCAAATTAAAAGGACTCACTTCTGAAAACCAGCAATCCAAAGACAGGATTTTGTTGTGGTACAGAGCAAAGATGTTACAAAAATATAAAAAATGCCTTCCTCGTTGATGAATACATCTGCAAAAATAATGTCTGCCAACACAGTAAATTCTTGTTTGAGCAAAAAGTCCCAATATGTGTTCTAAGTTTGCTTTCAAAACACGAAACAGGAATATTTTATTTCTTTCCTAAATCTTTAATTTTTCAAAGAGCAGTTGACAGTATTTTGTTTTCTTTTTAACTCCAAAGACTTGAAAACACTGAATCAGCATTTCCAAACTATCAGAAATAATGCACAAAATTAAACATGTTGGTGTGTAAATCACACATAGTAGTTCTTCATGTTAATGGTATGAAGCAGCAAATTCAGATCGCTATGTAGAACTGGGAAAAACTCACTTTTTCTGACAATGTAGAAATTAAAGCTCTCAGGGTATGCACTTTCATTTTACGCATCTGAAATAAGGAGGAAAATACTAACCAAATCTTTTATACCCTGTGTGCTTGCAATTAAGGACTAGACATTTAAGATGTTACAATATGTATTGAATTATGTCTTTAAGTTAATTCATTTTCACTCATATAGTTTATATTTAGCTTCATCAGCTAACTGATCTTTCAGTGGTACATAAGTAATAAAATATGATAAAATAGTATATATTAAACTTGAAGGGCTTGGATAAAAATACATGACATTTCTTTCCAAAGAAATCTAAATCATGCTTTCAGGATGAATCAATTTGTATTTATGGCAAAAAGCGTTTCACAAATATAGCTGTAGTTCAACAGCAACACTTTCATTTCTAAAAATGTGATTGACCTTAATATTACATTTCTTGTTTTCACCTGGGTGTAGATTACTTCCTTTGGTGTTAGATACATCAATGAAAGATGCACTCCAGAAGGCCCAAAGGGCTGGACAGGATCGCTGAATCAAACTCCATACTGTTGCAAGTTGCTGCATCCTCTAATCCTTTAAGCTTCATTTTAAAGTTAGTTAATGTTTGCATTTTTCTGTCTCTGTTTCTTCTAATTTCCGGCTTAGTTTGTTTCTCCTTTGTTCATATTCATTTGTTGTGTCAACACTGTGTTAGCATATAAGTTTTATTTCTTTTTACCTTCTTTTTTCTCAGGTAAGCAAGCAAAATGCTTCTGTCACAGTACGGGCTGTGTATGTAAAATGGAAACATTTTTATGGTCATCTTCACAGCCCTGCTCCATGTATACCTGCTAGAATTCAGTGGTTCAACCTGGACTCACCTTATACTCCTTACACAAAGATATTACACTTCTCCATCTTTAGGAATACAGCATTTGACAAGTCCTAGCACTACATTTTATTTCTCAGGGTTGCATTATAGTAATAGCCTACTGTCAACCCAACGATAATTCTGTCACTGTCTTTTTCTGCTGAGTGCTTTTTAGCCTTGGTGCTAAGAGTAGGAGTTCTGCTGTTACTCAATCCAGTGTAGGATTTTTTTTCAGTGCAATTGTATCTCATAATTTTTTCTAATATAACATTCCTTAAAATCACCTAGTTCACTCTGAATAGACAACACCTTTCAATTTTATGCAATCAGTAATTTTCACCTATTTGTTTACTTTTTTTGCATCAAAGTTGTCTAAGATATTTAGTCATTTTGGTGCCAGTGCTTGAGGAATTTCACTAGCGATTTCTTTCCCTTTCAATACGTGCATTTCTGTCACCTGCTGGCCTTTACTTATCTGCTAAAAGGGAAAAAAAACCAAACAGTATGCTACTTTAATTTCCTGTTCTATTACTCCAAAGCAGATGAACAGATATTTTGGACACATGAAGGTCTGATGTCATGTTTACCAACAGCTTTATTTCTTGTCTGAGATCAATTAAAAAAAATCCATGGTGTTTTAAAGGAGAATTTGTATGTTCAAAGCAGGACACCTGGAGTACAGTATTTATAATCTCTACATTTTTTCTTTATCATAACACTGCTTAAAAAGCCTGAAGTTATTGAATCACACAGTCACAGAATGGTTGACCTTGGAAGGGACGTCTGGGGAGCCCAGAACTGGACACAGTACTCCAGAAGTGGACTCAAAAGTGCTGATTAGAGAGGTGTACTGGGTTTAGCTGGGATAGAGTTAATCTTCTTCACGGTAGCTACTGTGGGCTGTGTTTTGAATTTGTGCTGGAAGCAGTGTTAATAACACAGGGATGTTTCAATTACTGCTGAGCTTACACAGAGTCAAGGCCTTTTCTGCTTCTCACTCCACCACACCAATGAGCAGGCTGGGGGGTGCACAAGGAGCTGGGAGGGGACACACCGTGGATCGGTGACCCCAGATGGCCAAAGAGATGTTCCATACCATGGTATCATGCTCAGCAATAAATTAGGGAGAAGGTTGCCCAGGGCGTGTTCAGGGACTGGTTGGGCATGAGTCGGCTGTTTTTTCACTTACATTACTTCTATTCCTTGGGCTTTATTTCTCTCTCTGTTATTTTTATTTTCACTATTGTATTATTTTTATTCATTATTATTATTATTATTGTATTATTATATTTCAATTAATAAAATGTTCTTATCTCAACCCACAAGTTTTCTCAGTTTTACCCTTTCCATTTTCTTCCTCCCTGGCCTACTGGGGCTTGGAGGGGAGCAAGAAACTGTGTGGTGCTTAGTTGCTGGCTGTGGTTAAACTATAACAAGGGAAAAGATCATGTCCCTCAATCTGCTGGAAAAAAAGCAAAACATCTCACTAATGCAGCCCAGGATGTTGACAGACTTCTTTGTCACAAGGGTGTATTACTGGGTCAACTTGTTTTTCATAAGGGTCCTTCATAATTTTTATTTAGTAATTGCTACTTTCTACAGAAATACCCACTACAATATTATTTGGAATGGAATTTCTCTAGGAGAATGATTTTGAAAACTTGTAAAATTCCCTGTAAGTTAAAACAATAGGCAACTCAAATTACACCTTAACTCTATTGGAAACAGGGCAAAAATTTGTTGTGCAGATTTGCTGAAAATTTTTTGTCTTTTTTTCTTTCAGTCTTTTTTAGTGTTAACTTGAAGTGATTGACTGTATGATCACAAAATAAAAGAATCATTTAGGTTGGAAAAGACCTTCAAGATCATCAAGTCCAGCTTTTGACCAACCACCACCTTGTCAACTAGACCATAGCACTAGGTGCCACATCCAGTGAGATGGTGTCTCCACAACCTCCCTGGGCAGTCCATTCCAATGTTCAAATTGTTCTTCCCATGAAGAAATTGCTCCTAATGTCCAAGCCGAACCTCCCCTGACACAGCTTGAGGCTATGTCCTCTGTCCTCTCACTTGTTACATGTGAGAAGAGGCTGACCCCCACCTTGCTACAACCTCCTTTCCGGTAGTAGTAGAGAGTGATAACATCTCCCCTGAGCCTCCTCTTCTCCAGGCTAAACAACCCCAGCTCCCTCAGCTACTCCTCATATGACTCCGTAGACTCTTCTCCAGCTTCACTGCCTTCCTTGTCCTTCTCTGGACTTTCTCCAGCTCCTCAATGTTTTCCTTGTAGTAAGGGGCCTAGAACTGGACACGAGACTCAAGGTGTGACCTCGCCAGTGCTGAGTACAGTGGTACAATCACTGCCCTGGTCCTGCTGGCCACACTATTTTTGATACAGACCAGGATGCCATTGACCTTCTTGGCCACCTGGGCACACTGCTGGCTCACATTCAGCCAGCTGCTGACCAGCACCCCCTGGCCCTTTTCCACTGGGCTTTGTTCTTTGAATCCTCATTGCTGTGTTTGTGTTCTCTCTGGTGATGTCTTCTTCCCAATCTATTTTTTCTAGGGACACCACAGGGAAGCCCCTGTGCAGCAGAAGGTTTGACCTGAGTTGAACAGCAACTCTATGTATGTGGCTGTTTCCTTACCAAACTCAGAAGTGTAAATGTCTTCTGCTTGGCTTAGTAGACTGGAAGCAAATACCATTAGGTCCTTGCAGTGTCGCTTCTGAGTTTTGGCCTTTTAGGCTTAAGTTTGCCAATCAAGGCACCATCTCTGACACAACAGCTTGGCCACACAGATGTGTTGCCAGCTGGCTTCATAGTGGGTTGCTGTGAACACTTAGTGTTTCCCCTTGGACCGATTCACGCCATTTCACTCTCCACTACCTTGCTACTCCAGCATGGACCAGCCACTGCCCCTGGGAAAGCAGTAACCTTCTGAATATACAGTTGTCAAAATCTTAACCTTTTGTTTCAGATCTGGAGGATTGGACAGTGACCCGTTATTTCTCTAAGAACATTTCAAGGCCTTGCTCTATAAGTACACAAAGTAATTCCATCAAATACTGTGTAACATATAAGACTCTAGCACAAAGTTTATTTTTATGCTTTTTTCCCTAAATCCTACAGCTCATTCAATATGAGATCAGAGGTTTCAGCCTATGATAGTGTGAGATAATGCAATTTCTCAACATGAGCACATGATTAAACAAGTGCATTACTGCATATAGCAACCTACTGCCTTTAGCTGATGTTATAACTATAATACACATAACCCATATTCTAAGATAAAAAACCTTGATTTCAACCTCAGTGAATGTGTAATAAGTTTGGAATAAAGCTGATTTGAAGCAAACACACACTCATTTTCTACCACTGAAGCAGGTAATAACTTGTCTGCACACTTCATCATCACATTGACTGCCCAATACAAATTGGGCATGATGAGATACAAGACACCATGATGATATACACGCCCAAAAGTCAATGAACAGGACTGATATAGCAAGATGCAACCAGGAGACCCTTTTGACAGAAAGGAAATGTCCTTCTTCATAGCAGAGCATCCCTTTTCCTGGGCACAAAAAGGGCGCTCCTATTGTGTATATTGATGCTCTGGATACTGACACCAAAGTCAATTCATATCCTCCTACAGCAATGGTAAGGATGGATGATTAACATAGCTCTTCCATTGCCAGTCCCTCACAGTGGTGGTCTATTTCATCCTACAAGAGTTGTAAGAATGACAGTTGTGTTACCTACTCTTGCCCTTTATAAATGTCTTTATTCTCCCATGCTAGCACAGGATTCCCATTTTCTCGTCTTGACCTTTTCCACATGATATCCTAGCACAAACAGGGCAAGTGAATTTGATTGGACTACTTACTGAGCATAAAAACATGTCCTGATAATGCCATAATAATGCGGTCATTTATGAGGGCTGCAGTGCTGTTTCTTTTGAAGCCAAAACACCTCCAAAGCAGTTACTCCTTCTTACGTTAGACAATGGGAGTGCAATAAGGAACAAAACTGAAGAGTAATGCAAGGCAACAAAGATTTGGAAACTTGAGCTATGAATTTATAGGTGCCGCCTCCACGTCCTTGTCTGTGCTCATAAAATGAAATATTTTCATATATTATCCATGGTTGGAAAAAGTACAAGAAATTACCAGAACTGAAAGCTTTTGAAGCAACAAAATTTAACACCTATTGCAAGGAAGCTTTTGTCTGGAATATAACGTTACTTTCCTGGCTGCCCTAGCACTTATATTACTATTAACTCTTGCTGAAAAATATGTACTGTGAGGGATCTTTTTATTGTTGTCACTATTATACAAAATAGTCCAACAAAATCTCATTGCAAGACTGGGAGTTGTCGGTGATATTTGAATCATTATTTCACTATAGGCTCTTTTTCAGTAAAAGTGACTTGGATTTATGAAGAATGCCCTTGAGATGTTTTGTCTGAAATTATTATTACAGAACAATACACCTCACATAGACTCTTGCCATTAGGGCTTAGAATCCTGTGATTTCCTAGGATTCAGCCTTTTAACTAAAAATCTTAATCTTAAAAGCTAAATCTCTAAAAATACTGGTAGAAATGAGGGAGCAGACTTTCTACTAGAGAGAAAAGAGAAAAGAAAAAAGAACGTTTTGCTTGAGTGGGGGAAGGTCACCACAAATATAGTTTATTTCATGGTTTGCATTTTGCTCTCTTTCCACAGTGAAATCAGATGAGTTGCAAACAATCAAGAAGGAATTAACCCAAATCAAAACAAAAATTGACTCCTTACTAGGGAGACTGGAAAAGATTGAAAAGCAGCAAAAAGCTGAAGCAGGTAGGTAAAAGCAATTTGTAGTGAAATGGATTAAATTAGAACCTAGTTACCAGTCAAGCAGATAGACCAAAGAGAATGGAAGCTTTCCAGAAATTTTGCTACATAATGAAGGCCTGAAGCAAGGTAAATTAACTCTCAGGTAGAACTATTATGAGGATAGATTAATATTCTTTACAGAACATGCACCATCATTGCAAGAATTGCTTTCTATGACGTAGTAGGAAAAAAATCTTTCTAGATGTTCTGGAAACAAAACATCTCTAAAACCAGACTGAACAGAAGTAAGTTAGAGCTTGTTAACCATGGGGGCAGTAGCGCTATCCACATTAAGAATTATTAGCTGGTCTACATCAATAATTATTGCCTGAGCAATAGGCAATGGTCACAAGTTGAAGCAAGGAAAAATTTCTGTTTGATATAAGGAAAAGAGATGCAATTAAGCAATATGGCAGGTTACCCAGAGAGACTGTGGGGGCTCCATCCCTGGAGAGGTTCAAAACTCATTGGGCCAAGATCCCATGGACAAACCCAAGTTTGTCCCTGACTGGACTGGATTTGAAAAGTCCAGAAATCCCTTCCAACCTCAGCTTTTGAGTGAAACTATGACCTCTTTGTTAAATTGGCCACACCTCTAGTTTAGCTTTTCTCTGGCTTAAAATGTTTTGTTTAGAAGCAAACCTTGGAAATAACAAAGTCCAACTCTACTTTATAGTTTAATCAAGATCTTTATTACTGTCATTGCAGTGTTCATTTTTTTAGCTGAATGATCTCACTTGGCAACACTTTAAAGTCATGCTGAGTTACAAGGTTATATTTTCATCATGGTGTATATAGAAAACAATTTCAATTCTTATGACTGTCTATGATATTTTCTTTGCCGTTTCCCTACAGATCACATGGTATATCTTTGTACAGGAGCTGATTTTAATGAGAGCCAGCAGGGCAATGACAGATGTACCTCATGAAAAACAATGATTTTTTCCCTGCTCCATTCTGTGATGAAAACTTTTTATGCAATTTGTGTGAAATGTGTGAAAGAAATTCTGCCTCGGAACCCACAGCTGCCTGGGTGTCTGGGCAGTTGCGAGTTACATGAAGCCAAAAATCCCATCAGGACACATAAAAAGAGTTCCACCAAGACTGTATAAAACATTACTGGGAATTAGCGGTTGAGGGCCATGGACCTGACGTGGGCAAAATAGATATTTAGGTCTGGATCCCTCCTGTTCCCAAGTAACTTTATAAAAAGGAAAACCACTTAAAAAATAAACTACCTTCTCTTTACAATCACTTTCTAAGTCTCTTTTGACAACAAGGACCAATCCCTCAGCTGTTATAGTTTATCTCACAAAGTTGAGGTGTTTTTTCAAGTCTAAGGTAAACCATTCGTACAGAGTGTGATTATCTCTTTTAGGGGAACTGTACACAATATGTGCTCATTATATTCTATTTTGAACTCTATGCAAGTTAGACAAAGTTGGTATAATCAGTGAAGATGTAATTGCAAGGCACTCCATTTAATCACTTGTGTACTGAAATACTCTGAGATGGTGCATCCCTACTTTAGGGAGCTTTTATATAAAATCCATTACTATGCAAAACAATCTGCACATCATTGTACTTTGATATCCAATTTTCACTTTTGCTAATGGACTGTAGTGAACTCATTTAAACAGAAATCAGCTCAAGGAGGAAAATGTTGATTTGTATTGAATCATAGTGTTATGCCTTTTGAAGACAAGCAATGAATATCCTGAGATTGAAAAGTGGTTTCAAAATGTTGAAGTTTTAAAACATCAGGTGCAGAATCCATCCCCCATATCCCTTGCCTCTCAGTGGAGCGTGTGAGGAGAAAAACACCTCTGAGATATCAGTAAGCATGGAAACCCATTTAAGTTTCCTGAGTTGATGAGGAGAGTTATGCAGCCTGGCTGATTAGTCTGCAGATGATTGATTCGCCAGCTAAAAGATTTGTGTAAGCTATATCAGTAGCTGAACTATTTCATTTACGGTATCAGACATGAGATGATGAGATGATTTTATTCCTTCTCTGTGGTTTGGTAACATTAATTCTTACTTTCCTCTGCCAGAAGGTGTGGGCTTGCTAAGACTGGGATCAGAGAGAGGATCTGTGTCTCATTTACACAAAACAAAAATCAAGACATCATCTTGTCCTTTTGGTTTTCTAGGTTTGAAGCACTACCATGAAGAATATTTAATGTTTAATCTTAAAAGTTGTTACATCTGGAGGAATGTGGCAGGTTACAAGTGGACAAGTTCAGTGCATACATTGGTTACTGCTCTACAGCTGCATGAAAATTCTGCTTACAGTACCAGTTGATGTTCTGTCATTTTCTGTTATTAAACCCCGACCAATCCAATAGGGATAATATAGATAATAGGATTTCCCACACATAGGAAAATTGTAGGAATAACTCCGTTGTTTGTAAAAATCTGAATCAGGAAGCCAGGAATGTTTTGATGTGACAAAATTGTTAGAGAATATTCTCCCTGTAATATTAGAGATAGGGGCTGAAAGTTAGGATCTTAAGTTTAGCTTCCCAATAAAGACCAAAAGAGTTGGGTACTGAGGTGGTATTTTAGACTCCTCTGAAGAATCAAGTGTATGTTCTCATTAAGACAATTAAGTAAGTGACCTAATTTTTTAACTGCTGTATCCTAGAAGGTTTCTCATTTAAATGTATTGAGTCTGTCATTTCAGCAAACCTTTTTTAAAAGCCTTGACCAAAGTTAATTCAGTTATCACTGCCACAGCTGAGTGTTCTCAGAAGTGGCTTGAGACAGGAAGTGGTGGGGCCAGACATAATAGGCATAGCTGATTCAATCCACATACCTTTGTGCAGTAAGGCAAGTAACACAATGACTTATAACTAGCATGATGTTTTACAAAACACCTTACCAATAGAAGGCGAGGCTCCACGGGCTGAATCTTCTGCTAATACAGTACTGTTGGAGCAGCTATCTAAGGTGACTTTTTATTCTTTAAATGCAAGAATCTTTCTGAAAACATTAGATGACTAAGGGAGGAAAGCTTAATTGTTCTGTGTCTTCAGTAAACCAATTTGAAAATGAGGGGCTAAAGACTAAGAAAGGTTAAAGAAATGAATGTAAGTGACAAAATAAATGTGCAAAGGCAAAAAGTAAAACAAATGTCTTGCTTTAAGACTATGGTACAGAAAAACACAAGCAGATTTGAATAGTGTGTGTAGCTGATAATAATTTAAGGTAAAATAATAATATGTTCATAGAGCTGAAAAATATAGAGCTCCAAGGCAATCCTTGATTCATTGGCTGTCCAACAAGATACGTGATGCACTACTAGCACTACAGAACAGTCAGTCTTATAAGGAAAGAAATGTTTTTGTTTTAGAAATTTCAGCATTCATCACCCTCATACTGAAAAGACATTGTTTTTCTAGCTGCCAGTGCAACCAATTCTCTGACCCCTATTCACTTTGAGTATATAAAGCTTTTCATCTAAGCTCCTGATGTCCAGAGGAATAAGACTTTATCCCTCCAACCACTCTTCTGGCTAGTCAGTCCCTGTCATTCCTCCATCAATCCTCCTCTGGATTTCTGCTGTTGGATGAAGTCCATCAGCATATCCAGGAGCTTTGCAATACTTAATCATACCAACGCAGATATCTGCATGAAGCCAACCAGAACAGATACTTCAGGCCTCCATGGAAATGGTCTTTCTTTTCACCACTTTGCAAAACATAAAGCAAGCCTATATGAGGGTAACTGGAGAGGGGTATTCTCCAGTTAATTCAGCATATTACACCAATGAGGAGTAACTGTCACCTTACTCCATAAAAAGCATAATAAACCTGACTAGAAGGATTTGTTGATTATCTATAAAGTTGTTGAGATATATTCATGGGAAATTCATGCAAATTCTTGTTCAGTTATTGGAAATCAACAGCCTTCCACTTAGAGCATAGAGATTTATGTATGTCTCATTGGCTGCATATAAATAAATACATGGTAACTATGCTACTTGGATTCCCAAGGCAAAGTCAAGTATAGAAAATCAAAAAGCTGGATCCACTGGTAAATGAAGCCTTCATCCACTACATGGGATAGATGATAGATGACCATATTGATACTGTGAATGATTTATACACTAATTTTTGAAAACAAGGTTTTCAATCCTATTTGCCTGGTAGATATTATCACACTGAGTTTTACAAAGCTAGCACATATGGAGATGGAAAGCTCAGGTTTCTTCCTCAGAGCACTTCCCTTTGCCACCAATAGGAAAGGTTACTGAATCTCTATAGAGTATGTTTTCCTTACAGAAGCCCAAAAGAAACAAATGGAAGATAATGCTGATTTGATTCAAGAGGAATGCATATCAGAGAATGCAGATAACTCTACGGAAGAGCCAATTGAAGGAGGGCCAGATGCAGATGGGGATGGAGAAGATATGACTGATGGGATAGAGGAGGATTTTGATGAGGATGGCAGCAATGAGCTGGTAAGGAATAATCATGCCATGTCTGTCTATATGGTTCCTACAAGTAACCACAGAGAACCAACAGTCTGGATTAACAAAATAAGCTCACAGCAACACTGTGATGTGCTGTAACTAGTGCATAGTCCTACACTGTAGTATCAATTAAGAATAGAAACCTCTGAGGAGAAAAAAGAAAAATATATTTTACTACACTTTGCTATTTTAGAAAAGAAATTAAGTGTACTTTGAATGGTTTACATTTATTATTTTTCATTTACTGAAATGTAGATGAGAAAGGAAATTATAGTGTGCCTTTTTTTTTTTTAATTGGAACATTTCAAAACTAAACAAGATTTTAGAATGGTGAACCTTTTTGTTAGTAAACAAGCGCTCCCCCACAGTCCCCACTCCTTATCTTCCACGTATATACTCTGCAGTGTTGGCAGATACAGATATTTTTGATGGAAGGATTTTTCCTTAGACGTGTTTGGCTAAGAAATGTTTGGGTTTTCAGCCTGAGGCTGCACCTTTCATGAAATGCCCATCATGGTACTAAACTCCTTAAGTTCTTCTAAAGCAACACTAAAAAATATTTGGAAAGTTAAATTTATACCTTTTTATGCATTCCTAATAAAAATGGAACAGTCACATTGGTTTAGACTCTGTAATACCCTCCATCTCTTCCTGGCTTTCACATTCTTCTGCTTTGAGAAGAAAGCACTTCTGTTACTCATTGTCATTGCTTACTATTTAACACACATTTACTCATGAGTGCACTGTAAAGATCATTCAGTGAATCCAACAGAAGTCAGTTAGCAAGGGACCCTGCTGAACCAGCAGCAAGTCTGGAGCAACAGAGCATGTGAATAATCAGTGGTTTGTACTGCTTACTGCAAATGCAATTTAAACCTACTTTTAATTTGCAGGTTTGTATCCCTTTAGCCAACACAAGACCCTCTTGAGTTTATATATCCTGAATAGCATTATCCTCAGGAGAAGCTACTACAACCTGAATCCTCTCATCCTTCAACAGGGAGATTTTGAAAGAAACTAGAGGAAAAAAGAGAGCTTTCCAACTATGGAAAAAAGGGCTGACTACTCATGAAGAGTTTAGGAATATAGTTAGGTTATGTAGAAAGAAAATTAGAGACACAAAGGCACAATTTGAACTTAATCTAGCCACTTCTGTTAGGGATTACAGGAAGTGTTTCTGTAAATACATCAATAGCATAAAAGCCCCCCTGTAATCCAGGAGGAAACAGTTAGCAACCTGCTGAGCCACTTGGATCCTCATGAGTCTATGGGACCAGATGGCATCCCTCCTAGGGCAATGAGGGAGTTGGTGGAAGAGCTCGCCAAGCCGCTTTCCATCATCTACCAACAGTCCTGGCTCACTGGGGAGGTCCCAGATGATTGGAAGTTGGGGAATGTCATGCCCATCCACAAAAAGGGCTGCAAGGAGGACTCGGGAAACTACAGGTCCATCAGCCTGACCTCAGTGCCTGGCAAGGTTATGGAGCAGATTATCCTAAGTGCAATCACAAAACACCTACAAGATGGAAAAGGGATCAGACCCAGCCAGCACAGGTTTAGGAAGGCAGGTCCTGCCTGACCAACCTGATCTCCTTTTATGATCGGGTGACCCGCCTGGTGGTTGTGGATGTAGTCTACCTGGACTTCAGCAAAGCCTTTGGGGGGGAGTGTTGATCTGCCAGAAGGCAGGAGGGCTCTTCAGAGGGACCTGGACAAGCTGGAGAGATGGTCTGATTCCAACGGGATGAGGTTCAACAAGGCCAAGTGCCGGGTCCTGCACTTTTACCACAACAATCCCATGCAGCGCTACAGGCTGGGCACAGAGTGGCTGGAGAGCAGCCAGACAGAAGAGACCTGTGAGTTTGGACTGACAGGAAGCTGAACATGAGCCAGCAGTGTGCCCAGGTGACCAAGAAGGCCAACGGCATCCTGGCCCGTATCAGGAACAGTGTGGCCAGCAGGACCAGAGAAGTGATTCTTCCCCTGAACTCAATGCTGGTGAGGCCACACCTCGAGTACTGTGTGCAGTTCTGGGCCCCTCAGTTCAGAAACAATATTGAGGTGCTGGAGAAAGTCCAGAAAAGAGCAACAAGGCTGGTGAAGGGACTGGAGCACAAGTCCTATGAGGAGAGGCTGAGGGAGCTGTGGTTGTTCAACCTGGAGAAGAGGAGGCTCAGGGGAGACCTCATCACTCTCTACAACTACCTGAAAGGAGGTTGTAGCTGGGTGGGCGTCAGTCTCTTCTCCCAGGCAACCAGCAGTAGGAAAAGAGGGCATGGTTTTAAGCTCTGCCAGGGGAGGTTTAGGTTGGATATTAGGAAGAAATTTTTTTACAGAGAGGGTAATCAGATATTGGACTGGGCTGTCCAGGGAGGTGGTGGATTCTCCATCCCTGGAGGTTTTCAAGATGAGACTGGATGTGGAACTCAGTGCCACGGTCTAGTAACCATGGTGGTGATGGATCAAGGGTTGGACTTGATGATCTCGGAGGTCCTTTCCAACCTGGTTGATTCTATGATTTTATGACTCTATGATCTTTTAACTTGCACAGTTGAACAAATGACATTATACTTTTTTCTCAAAGGGAGAGGTTCTCCTGTGCAAGTATGAGGGATGTCTGTAAGAAGCTGTCACTCTGAATTTGTAGGAATTTGAAATTTTGCAATTAATAAATAATTGTAAATATATTCTCCCACCATGGCTAATACCTGACCAGCTGAAGTGATATTAGCAATAGGGGCGATCACAGTTTAACAAGACTGGTAGGTTTTACAGTAATTAGGCATTAGACTCCTATTAGACAACTCAGTGGGGATATTGATATACAGTGTATTAGCCTCTGACTGCTCAATACTGTCGTTTCACCCTGTGGGTATAACATATTTAGCATGTATCCACACTATATAATGACACGAGGCAGAAGAATTTTTTCATCTCTCAGAGGCCTCAGTAGGAAAAGGTCTAAAAAGCAAGCAGCATAGAAAGTCTTCACTAACTGTGAAAGTCTTGAATTGGCACAGCCATGTTTGCACACCTGTTTGCACACACTGCTTCCAAGATAAAAGGCCTTTCCAAAATTTATGTTATGGGATTAGTTGACACAGCTCCAAACACAGCTCAGAGGTCTGAGACATGCATCTGAGGCATGGTGGGGAACCATCTCCTGTTTCAATGCATGTCATTACTGACCGCATGACTGCCAGGAGGAGACGGCTCACTGCACGTAGACAGTGGTGTCCTCTGCACCCTAGCATGGGTGCTATCCCCCCAATTCTGATGTGATGGCAGCAAGGAAAGACCAAGGAAGAGGACTTATGTGCATTGCCTCGATCAGGTACAGCCTGGTCCAGTGCCAGGGCAGTGGAGCCAGTCAACCTCATGCCTTCCACCTTCGCAAAGGCTGGGACCCTCCAGCTGAGAAGCTGTTAGTATTGTAAACTTAAAAGCTTAGAACCAATATTGACAGTCATGTAAAATTCCTGTGCTTTTCATCCTCCCTTGTCGTTTCCATAGCCTTTGGAAGAAGCCACTTCACCTCAGTTTCCTGCCTGCTATGATGGAGTAATAACACTTTCCTTTGCAAAGCCTGCAGAGAACACTGAATACAAAACTGCAATGGATAGGATAAAGGATTGCTTGGAAAAGGATTACTTCAAAGAAATCTCAGGCTATAGGTGTTTTCCACAGAAAGGCAATTATAAATTGAATTATGTGTCTTTCATCTATACTTTTTACCCAAACAGTCAGCAGTATTAACCAGTACTTTTATGATCTGAGGCTGGTAGTTTTTGACACAGATTGTAATTTAGACTGTTTTACACTTGTACTTACCTATACTTACTTAGATACAGTGGCCAATTCCTATAAGCTTTATTTTCTACTCCAGTCATTGACAATTGTATAAAGTAAAAGTCAGTAACAATACTATCAAATACATAGTGAACACCCCAGTAGGAATACTTGGAATTTCATTCTGCTTCTACCCGTTCTGTGCCCTGTTATCTGAAATTGCCCTCTGTTTTGTGAAAAGTAAAGTAGATGTATAAACTTGTTATAAAGCAAGAAGTCCTAACAGCTGTTGTTATTCTACTTCATAAAGAGTAAGTTATTTAGCACAAGAGCTGACTAATAGTAAATGTGTCATTTTGGAATGGAGCCAGTTACAAGTCTTTTGGAGAAAAAAAAAGGTTTTTAAAGCATGAAAAGTGTTAAACGTGAAATAATTAAGACAAACTTTCCATGGGTAAAATCATAATGTTGGACTTGGAATAATAAATACCCTTCCAAAGGACATTTCCTAATGAAATCTATAATGTTTTCCAAATATATAGCTAAAGGGATTTAGGACAATGATTAAAAAATATTTTCTTTCATCACTAAGGCCAGCAGAGGAAATAGAAAAATATTTTAAGTGGGCATAACTAATGCTCTGAAGTCTATTCAGCACAAAAATTTAGTTGTGAGTCCACTAGCATGAAAAATATTATTAGAGGGAGAGAGGAACATGACTTAATTTAGATCTTAACCTTTATTGAGTTCTTTAGATTTAGCTGTAAATCTTCTGCCAAGCCATTTGCCCAAAACCTCCTGCAGGTTTGCTGAACAGAATTCTGTTTTCCTAAGGCTGTCAGTAAAGGAAAGTGCTCAAGAAGGACATACTCACTGCCATAATCCACATGCTGCCAGAATGTAGCTTCTAGATCTGCATATGTGTGTCTGCATCTTTGCACCAGAGGACTCAAAACTATATTTCTTTCTCTATTTCTAATTCTAATTTGCAAAGGGAGTGACTATGCAGGATGTGTGCTGTAGGTTTAGGTGGTAGGATCAGTTCTCTAAATTCACATGGTGTCTATTTAGAAAACAGGTTACTGCACATTATCTGAGTCATGGCATCTGTCCTCGTGCCTGCTTTCAGCCTAGATCAACTGTAAAGAAAGACAGAGTAGATTAGCCTGCAGTCTGAGTTAAGTCAGGCATTGATTTAA